CGGCACCTGCCGCCCCCCAAGCCCGGGGAGCTCGGGGACATGGCCGCTGTGATCGAGGTGAAGAAGGACGAGGCGGACCAGGACAGCAGCGGCCTGCCCTACGACACGCTGCACCTGTTCGACTACGAGGGCTCCGAGTCCATCGCCGAGTCCCTCAGCTCCCTGGGCACCGGCTCGTCCGACTCGGACATCGACTACGACTTCCTCAACGACTGGGGGCCCAGGTTCAAGATGCTGGCCGAGCTGTACAGCACGGACTCCCCGGAGGAGCTGCTGTATTAGGGGCGGGTGCCCTGGGCCTGGGGACCCAAACCGTTGCGGCTGCAGCCAGCTGGACACCAGGCCTGACCTGGAGTGACAGCACAGACCCCCCAGGCCCAGCAGCCCTTCCTTTTGGGTCCCAGAGACCTCACCACCCTGGGCAGCAAACTCCAGGTCCCTGAAATGTCCAGGAACCTGTTTCCGCGGCGGCTACCCCCGAAATGCTGGAACATCCAAGCTAGCGGTGCCTGGGCTCGGACAACCACATAACCCTGTCACCAGGACCACACGTCCAATGCAGAGACGTTTTCTCTAGCTCCTCAAAGAGCTGATGTCCAACTACCAGAGACAGGTGTTCCCCAAAGGTCCCTAAACCCCCCCAGCGAGGCTGGGGAGGCCCTCGCGCCTGTCTCCCTGGAGGCAAAGGGCAGGACAGAGTGACCTGTGGGTGACCCTCCCCGCAGCCCAGTCCCAAGGGAGCCCGGGGCCATCCATGCCGCCTGCCCTGCTTCAACTTCCTCACACCCTCCCCCGCCCCCTCGCACTCTGAGGCCCCTCTCCAGGCCCCTGAAGAGGGAGGAAGGGGTCCCTGGCAGCTATCCACTGGGGTCCTCAGGGGCCCTCATCCGCCTGCCACACCAGTTTCTGTCCTGCACTAAGCGCTGAGCCGCAGCCTGCGTCGGGGAAGTGGCTTGCTGAACTGTGAAGCAACTGTGAATGCATCCTGGAGGGACACGGACGATCACGTGTGACAGACCAGGGGGTGAGGGCCACCCTCCAGAGGGGGCCTGGAGGGGCGTGACCCCAATTGGAGACTCACTGACATGCTTCTAGTTTTGCCTGGGAAGTGGGGACAGATGTGCCCAGAGCAGAACATGTCTTCCCATCTCTGCCTCGCCTGGTCCTTCATTCCTGGGGCAGGACAGAGTGACCTGTGGGTGACCCTCCCCGCAGCCCAGTCCCAAGGGAGCCCGGGGCCATCCATGCCGCCTGCCCTGCTTCAACTTCCTCACACCCTCCCCCGCCCCCTCGCACTCTGAGGCCCCTCTCCAGGCCCCTGAAGAGGGAGGAAGGGGTCCCTGGCAGCTATCCACTGGGGTCCTCAGGGGCCCTCATCCGCCTGCCACACCAGTTTCTGTCCTGCACTAAGCGCTGAGCCGCAGCCTGCGTCGGGGAAGTGGCTTGCTGAACTGTGAAGCAACTGTGAATGCATCCTGGAGGGACACGGACGATCACGTGTGACAGACCAGGGGGTGAGGGCCACCCTCCAGAGGGGGCCTGGAGGGGCGTGACCCCAATTGGAGACTCACTGACATGCTTCTAGTTTTGCCTGGGAAGTGGGGACAGATGTGCCCAGAGCAGAACATGTCTTCCCATCTCTGCCTCGCCTGGTCCTTCATTCCTGCTGTCTCTTTTCTTTCTCTCCCCTCCTCCTCCTCCTCCTCCTCCTCCTCTCTGGACTCAGAGGCACTCAAGATATGATCCACAGCAATTGGCAACTCTGGCCAATGTCCAAACCCAACTCTGACTGCACAACGGAGCCAAGCCATTTGCCTTCACACCTCGTTGTTGCCGCATCTCAGGGAACCCCAGCAGGGCCCTGTCCTTCAGGCACACCCTGCGGAAGGCAAGGCCCCCGCCCCATCCAAGCCCCTTAGTCCTCTGTGCATCTCCCCCTTTCAGCCACACGTGGAACGTTCCAGCACAAACACACCTGGGAGAAGAGGAATCACTCAAAGGGAGGGGCAGGGATGGAGGCAAACCCTCCAACTCACCCTTGGCCATGACTCAAGTCCCCACTCTGAGGGCCCCTGACACATCAGGGGATTGTAGATAACACTGACTTTATTTTTAACCAATAACTACCTTTTTTTATAACTACTTAATTTTTTTTACTAATAACACTTATATATGTCTAGGTTTCACAAACATATAAGATTTTTTGCATAACAAGGTTGCTATTTAGATTAACAGTTTTAATCCAGGTGTTTTAGTTGAATAAACAAATTCCTGTAACCTTCTATTTCCTATCATTGTCATAACTGCTCCAGGGATATTGACTATGTATTGACCACACTGGTGCATGAAATGTACTGTATTTTTTTTTTATACCTGAATAAAGATCTTGAAATTCTTCCATTTCTAGAGCTGAGAGAGTGAGCTTATTTAATGTATTTTTATTAATTTCAGAGAGGAAGACAGAAGGAGAAAGAGATAGAAACATCAATGACAAGAGAGATACATTGATGGGCTCCCTCCTGCACACCCCCCATTGGGGATCAAACCCTCAACCTGGGCATGTGCCCTGAACGGGAATCAAACCGTGACCTCCCGGTTCATTGGTCAATGCTCAACCACTGAGCCACACCATTCGGGCAACAATTATTCTTGAATTGTCTATTTTCCCTTCAATTCTATCCATTTTTGCTTTGAGTATCTTTGGTGTCTGTTGTTAGGGGTCTATAAGTTTAAATGATTTTATCTTCTTGACAGATTGGCCCTTTTAGCATTATAAAATGTACCTCTTACATCTAGGAACAATTTTTATTTTAAAATCTATTTTGTCTGGCAGTCACTCCAGCTCTCTTTTGGTTACTGTTTATATGGTACTAGTGACCCAGTGCACGAAATTCATGCACATTAAAAGGGAATTAATTAGAGGACATATTTTAATATTGCTATTTGCTCTTTCTCTATAATAGAAGTGTCAGAAAGAAAATTAGTAAAATGTGTATGAAAATCTTCCTCCTGTCAGAGTCCGGGGCATGCTGCGGGAACCAGAGTCAATTCCCTGCCATCCACATGCACCTCGAAATCCTGCGAGACCCAGACCTGGCCAGCCCCAAACCTGGCCAGCCCCACCCCCGTCAAGCCCTGCAGGCAGGGGGTGTGGCCTCAGGTCACCTGGCCCAGCGCCAGGCAGGGGGTGCAACCTGAGGTTCCCCCATCAAGCCCCACTCTGTGGGGGGGCACGGCCTGAGGTCCCATCAAGCCCTGCCAGACGGTGGGGGCACAGCCTCAGGTCTTTTGCCCCAGCCCAGTGCCACACAGCTTCAGGACCCTGCTGATTGCTCATTAAGACTCATTACAGCCCTAACCAGTTTGGCTCAGTGGCTAAAGCATCGGCCTGCGGACTGAAGAAAATCAATAAAATATATATATTTTTAAAAAGACTCATTACATGCCAAAACTGGTTTGGCTCAGTGGATAGAGCGTCGGCCTGCGGACTGAAAAGTCCCAGGTTCGATTCCGGTCAAGGGCATGTACCTGGGTTGCGGGCACATCCCCAGTAGGAGATGTGCAGGAGGCAGCTGATCAATGTTTCTCTCTCATCAATGTTTCTAATCTCTATCTCTCTTCCTTCCTCTCTGTGAAAAATCAATAAAATATATCTAAAAAAAAAAAAAAAGACTCATTACAGGAACCTGGCCTCCGCCCTGGGCACAACCATCTAGTGTTATGGAATCCCTGCCTCCGCTATGGGCACAGCCATCTTGGCCATTATGGCAAGACAGTCAATTTGCATATTTTCTCTTTATTAGATAAGATACTTTCTTCCATCTTTTACTTTCAATCTACTTGTGTCTTTTAACATAGAGCGTGTCTTCTGTGGACAAAATATAGTTGGATCATGGCAGTTTACCCATCGTGCCAATCTGTTTTTTTATTAGCATGTTTAATCCTTGTCTGTTTAACGTAATTACCAATAAGATTGGATTTCTGTCTGCCGTTTTTGTATTTGTTTTCTGTGTCTTATGGTTTTTGTCGCTCTATTACCCCAATATTGCCTTCTTCTATGTTAAATAGATATCGCCTAGTGTAGCATTTTCATTATCTTGTCAAATCTTTTATTCTAGTTTTTGAGTTATTTTTTTAGTGGTTCCCTTGAAGATCATATTTAAAATCTCAACTGATAATAATAGAGTTAGAATTTGTACCAGCCTAATACAAAATTTTGCTCCTATATAGCTCCACTACCACCCTCTCCTTTGTACTACCATTGTCATACATATTACTTTTTATACATTGTATGCCCATCAACATAGATTTACAATGATTGCCTTATGCAGTTGTCTTTTAACCCTACCAGACCTGAGGCCCTGAACCTAACTGTCCCCTATACCTGGGCTCCTGAGCATTAAAGAGAAAAAACCAACATGATATAGAAAAATGTTAGTTACATGCAAACAAGTGGTTAGAATAAGATGGAACTTGGAGACATTGTAGAAAATAGGTCTACCTTTCATCTACCTTTCATCTAGCACCAATATTCCACCTTTGTGTGGAAATTACCGAAAAATCGGTACAGCGGTCTGGTAGGGTTAAGATGCCCTTGTCCATTTTTCTCTTGGGTTAATGCTTCCTGTCACAACCCAGCAGTGCATATTTTTTCTCCTTTTGAAAGTATTTCTGGCCTCAAAACTAAACTAAATTAGATGCCAGTTCTTCTCCCTTTTCTTTATGTCCACATAGCATCCTGAGCATAACTTTCTCAGAGTACTTATTACATTGAATTTTAATAGTGGGTTTGCTTAACTGTCCTCTCCCTACTTCTCTGCCCTTGTCCAATGTTTGGCACATACTAGACACTAAATATGAACAGAAAAATGAATAGAGACGGCTGCTGCCTTTAGTGTTGACTTTTAACCCCTGGTGCTCCAGCGGCAGGAATCTGGAAACTTCACCTAAGGGGAGCCTACACTAAATTGGGGTAGGCTGTTTTAAGAGTATTGTGTTGGAGGGGATATGTGCATGTACACACTTCCGCACACACGCGCATGCGCGCACATCTCTCTCTCTCTCTCTCTCTCTCTCTCTCTCTTTCTCTTCCGTAGGACTCAAATTATACTTATATTAGAATGCTTACTGATGTCCAACAGGTATCTAAGGAACTGTATTTTCTTCATTTTTTTTCTTTCTATTCCACAGACTAGATCATCTCAATTGACCTATCCTTAAGTTTGCTGATCCTTTTTTGAGCCAACTCACATCTGCTCTTAAGCTCTTCTAGTGAATTTTTTATTTCACTTATTGTACTTTCAATTCCAGAATTCCTATTTGAATCTTTTAATTTTTTTTAAATTTTTTAATCCTCACCCAAGGATGTTTTACCATTGATTTTTAGAGAGAGTGGAAGAGAGAGAGAAAGACAAATATCGATTGGTTGCCTTCTGTACGAGCCCTGACCAGGGCCCAGGCTGGGAAGGAGCCTGCAACCGTGGTACATGCCCTCGACCAGAATCAAACGCAGGACCCTTCGGTCTGCAGGCCAACGCTCTAGCCACTGAGCCAAACCGATCAGGGCTGTTTCTTTTTAAATAATTTCTACCTCTTTGTTGATATTCTCTATCAACAAAGATGGTGAGACATCATGGTCATACTTTTCTTTAGTTCTTTAGACATGGTTTTCTTTAGTTCTTTAAACATATATTAAATAACTAGTTTAAAGTCTTTGTCTACTAAGTCCAACGTCTGGGTTTCTTTGGGGATAGTTCTTACTAATTGCTTTTTCTTTTCCTGTAAATGGACCATACTTTCTTGTTTCTTTGCATGTTTCATAGTTTTTGTAGCTACCTGCATATCTAGAATAATAAAAGCATAATATGCTAACTAGACCAGACAACCTTCTGGACGAAGCCGGAGCTGTGAGGGAAGCCCAGGTCCCAAGTGTCTGCCGGCGGCCAGAGGGAAGCCCAGGTCCCTGGTGCCGGAGGGAAGCCGGTGCTGGCAGCCAGGGGAAATCCAGGTGCGGGGGGAAGCCGGTGCCGGCAGCCGGGGGAAGAAAGGCCTACTCTTGCATCGGGCCTCTAGTTTTAAATAACGTGACAACTGTGAAACCGGATCCTTGTGCCCCAGGGGTTATTGTTGTTACTGGGTTATGTTCCTG